CCCTCTCTGTGAAAACAGCCGTTTGTCCGGAGTTGAGCTCCAGCCCCCAGCAATGCTGTATGATCTGGGGGTGGGCGAGCTCCCTAACCGCTCCAGCCTGTGTTCCCTGCCCGGTCTCCTGCCCTGCCTCACGGGGGCGCTGCGGTCACGCGATAACCTCCTTGCGGAGCCTCTGTACTTTAAAAGCGCCCGGTGTCACCTTCATTGCTACTTTTCCTGGTGGTCCCAAGAGGCATGGTGGGAGAGTGGGAGAGAGGGCGAGCGGGTGGCGGGGGCCAGCAGTGGCCTGAGTCCCCTCCCCACTCCCTCCTCCTCTCCTCGCAGCCACCGGCCGAGGACAAGATCAACGGCATCCTGCTGGGCTTCCGGATCCGGTACCGAGAGCTGCTGTACGAGGGGCTGCGGGGCTTCACTCTCAGAGGCATCAACAACCCTGGGGCCAAGTGGGCGGAGCTTACCTGTGAGTGGCAGCCCAAGAGAGTGGGGGGTGGGCACATGGGCCTCCCTTCTCTGAAGCCTCAGCTTCCTGGACCCTCTAACCTGACGCCCTCCTCCCGCTGCACCTCTCCCCCGACTCACGACTCACTCGCGGGTGTTTACCGAACTCACTCGCGGGTGTTTACCGAGCACCTTACCATGGTCAGGGCCGGGGCGCACAGACCAGGGCCCGCCCCTTGGAGTTTGCAGGCTCCATGGGGAGCCGGGGTTCAGAAGCAAACCCTGAAATCCACATCTAAGGCCTGCTGGCAGGACAGCTGGGAGGAGGTGTTCCAGGACAGCCTGGGACTGGGTCAGAAAGGGTTCCCTGGCGTCACTGGTGCCATCCCGGAAGCGTGACTCCAGGTGAACCAGAGGGACAGGAGGGCGGCTCATGAATGGGAGCCCTGCCTGAGGGACCAGCAGCCTCATGGGCACGCCCCAAGAGCAGCTGCGGGGGCTCCCCTGGGGTCTGGAAATCCTGCCTCCTAGTGGGAGGAAAGAGAGTGAGCAGCCCTGGCGGGAACCCCAGGGAGAAGGGGTGCCCAGGGGGTGCCCAGGAGAGCCAGGAGCAGGGGACTTCTGTTCGGGAGCGTCATTTTGGTGGACTGAACATGCCGGCTTGCTGTGGGGGTAGAGAGGAAGGCCAGATGGAGACTATTCCAGTGACGCAGGAGAAAAAGCATGATAGGACCAGGTGGCATGGCGGGGGCCAGGTAGCTGCTCTGGTGGAACCGAAGTCCACTGCGGGGAGGGGCGGGGTTCTGAGCATGAACTTCGGCCCCAGATTGATTCATAGAGTGCAGGGATGTGGGTGCCCGGGGAGAGGAGGTTGGACCACTCCCCAAAACAGACTAGCGAGAGCGCAGCGGAGGAGCAGCACTAGGACACGGGCCGAGCCCCCAGACTGCCTTCTGGGTTTCCTTTCTCCGCCGACACGTGCTCGAGGTTGTGATTGCCTGTTGCCCGTGTGTAATACAGTCGTGTTTCCTGGCAGTAAAATTGTTTCTGGTTGGTATGAGGAAATTAACAACTCCAGTATTTCATGGTGGTTTCCCTGAAGCTCTGTCTTGACACAAGGAGCCAGATGGGACTAGAGGCCCCCAGAGCTGTCCCCGGAGATGCCAGGCTCCCAGGGACTCGAGACGCCCTGGGACTCGGGCCAGTGTATGCCAGGTGGGGACAGCACTGTCCTGGGAACCCTAGTTCCCGTCCTGGCATTAGGGACCTGGGAGCTCTCCCTCGCCCTGTGTCCCCTCCCGTGCCGGCTCTGTGTCCCCTGCTGCCCACTGGCCGGGGTGTCCCTGCAGGGTGCAGCGTGCGCACTAACCTCCTCTGTCTGCTGTCTCCCTGGCCTCCTCCGCCTCCCCCACCCCAGCCATGTACTCCATACGGAACCTGAGCCGGCCCAGCCTCACGCAGTACGAGCTGGACAGTAAGTCTCCTTGCATGGGGGCTTCCATCGGGGCCCAGGCCTCCTGCGGGCATGGGGAGTGGGGCCTTGAGACCACTGTGCCCACCCAGGGGCTTGAAGAATGGGACCGCTTGCTGCATGTGACTTCTCAAACACATGAAGACACTGGCGGTTACTAGGGAGCGTCCCCCAAGCTCGGGCTCTGTCGTGTGTGGTGGAGAAGCAATGTCTGCAGCCTCGTGCTCCGTGGGCGGGTCGGGATACAGTGTCACGGGTCTAGGAGGGGCTGCTGGATGCGATGGACCAGTGGGCAGGGTGCATGTCACTGCTGCTCTATCTTGTCCCACCCAAGGCACACTAGAGCCCAGCTGTGTCTTCCAGCCCTGAACCCCACTTTAGAGTGAGCAGACGGCAGTTCTGTCCCCAGACTCTGTCTCCCAGCAGAGTTGGCTGTGTTCCTGCCTGTGCCACGCCCCGCCTTGCCTTTCCGAAGCGCCACGTGGTCCTTCTGCGGACCCAGGCCTCCTGTTCAGAGAAGGCAGCTCGAGTTTGAGTTCATTGTCACTGTCTTTCCTTCCTCAATGGCCCACACAGGCCAGGGGGACTCCTCCGCTCACCCCAGGGAAGGGAGAGAGAAGAGTGGAGAGGCAGGGGGGCCTCAAAGCCATCCCGAGCATGGCCAGCACCTCCCTCCCAGGGTGTCTGAGCCCCTGCCTTGAAACTGCTTCCCTCCCCCAGCTTCCCCAGGCATCCTCGCCCAAGCACCCCCAAAACAGGGGATTCATAGCCCAGAATTCACACCCAATGAGCTCCCCCACCTAGGACTGCATGCCCCTGTGTCCACAGCAGCCGGATGAGGCTGGGAGTGCCCACATCGCCATGGTAGGAAAGAGGGCACACAGGAGGCCTCTGGCCCAGGGAGCCCAGGGTGTCTTAGTGTACCCCGTTATCCCAGTGTAAATCTTAACAGCACCCCTTTCAGTCTCAAAGTGCCCAGTGATAGTAACTGAAGGTCAAGAGGCTGACCAGGGCCCTGGGGCCCCTCCTCCCCTTGGCCTATCCTGAACCTTCATGCAGGAGACTGGCACTGAGGCTGCCTCCTTCCTCCCCCCAGCCTCCCCCACGTGGTGGGCCCCTTCCCAGGACGGTGACTGTGTCCCCTCCCTGCTCTCCCCGCAGACCTGAACAAGCACAGGCGCTATGAGATTCGGATGAGCGTGTACAACGCGGTGGGCGAGGGACCCTCCAGCCCGCCGCAGGAGGTCTTCGTCGGGGAGGCAGGTGAGAGCCCCCCACCTCCGTGCCTGGCAGGCCTTCCCCACCCGGTGATCCACCCAGAGGAGACATGGGGTGTTGGGGGGAGGAGGGCTCCCCCACCCCGGTGTTCACTCACGCACTCACTCTCCACCCTACACACCCTCTAGTGCCAACAGCAGCACCCCGAAACGTGGCTGTCCACGGTGCCACGGCCACGCAGCTCGATGTGACGTGGGAGCCACCCCCGCTGGACAGCCAGAATGGAGACATTCAGGGCTATAAGGTACTGGGCCCTCGGGGTGCAGGGGCCAAAGGTGGGGTGGGGTTGGAGTAGACGCCGATTCTTGGAGGCTGATGTCATTCCAGAGGACAGCCCAATGTGGTAATGCAAGCTGGAGACTGAGAGCTGCAGGGAGCCATGCATGCCCAGCCCAACCCCGCACCCATGGGCAGAACTAGCTTCAGCACGCTGAAGAGCCCTGGGGCCGCACGGCTGAGTACCGCGAGCGCCCACTTACAGCAGGTTCTATATACCTGGAGTGAAGGAGGAGGGAGGAGGACGGGCAGGTTCCTCTTGTGTTTGCTTATTTACTTATTTATTAGATGTTTTTGCTTTAAGGCATGTGTGCTCTCCAGAGAGAGAAGCAGAGATGGCGGGAGGGAAAGTGAGAAATCTCTCTCTCTCACACACACACACACACACACACACCCTCCCTTGGCCTCTCTGCAGTCCCTTCTCCTCCATTCTCCTCCTGGGATCTTGACCATGCGTGCACACATACCCAGCGTGATTTTCAAGCCACTGGGTCAGGACTTGAACTATGATCTGCTATCTGGGAACCCTCTGTTATGAGAGGCCCCTGCTCCATAGTCCAGCGACGTAACCACTACGCCACCTGCTGGTTCCTGTAGAGATGGCTGACGCCCAGCAGGGCTTCACCAGCTGGGAAAACTGAAGTCTCCCCCATCACCCCCCCTGCCCCCAGCATATGGGGGAGAAAAGGGACCGGCAGAATGAGCCACGTTCGACAGCCACCAGACTGTCAAAGTCGTGAGTTAATAACAGATCCAGGAAACGTGTGGGTGCACAAGCCATCCACAACACAGAGGATGTCTACGTGCTCCAGAAAACCGTGTCTGCCCCTGAGCAGTCACCGTGGACATGAGCTAGGGACACAGGGGTGGCCGCCTCCCGGACGCGTGTCAACCAGCGCGCTTGCATCCACAGTCATCCGCATTAGCACGAATGAGGTGTTAACGTCGACCCATTCATGTCTGCCGACGCGCACAGCTGAAAGGACACTGCGTTTGGGTGAGACGGAGCTGCCGTGTGAGCGCCGGCCGGCACCTCACGTGGGTTCCTGGAGCGCCAGCATTCGGTCACTCCGTGGCACGTGTTAGTGAGCAGCTGTTTTATGCCCAGCTCTGTTTTCTGGGCTGGGAATAAAGCAGTGGACAAAGAGACAACGTGAGCCTAGATTTTTAGCAGGTGGAGACCAGAGATGTACGAAATCAAGATTCCGCCAGATGGTGGTAAATGAAGCAGGTTACTGGAAAAGCTGATCCAGGGGGAGGCTTGACGTTTTAAATAGGGTTGTTAAGAATGGACTTAACGAGAAGGCATGTGATATTGGAGCAGCACCTGAGAACAGGCTATGAGTCACTGGGGAGGGCGGTGGCAGGAGAAGGGCATTCCAGAGAGAGGGAAGAAGAGCAAAGGGCCTGGGGTAGGTGAGCGCTGGGAGCGTACGGAGCCCTGTGTGCCCCCAGAGTGAACTGGGGCAACGTGGCGGGAATTGGGAAGAGCAGAGGCCAGCACGCCTAGAGCCCCTAGGGCTTTGGCTTTTCCTCTGAGTGAGGTGACAGCCGTGGTGGGTTTGGGGCAGAGGAGAGACTTGGGTGACGGGTTTTTAGAGGGTCATGTCGGCTGCTATGCTGAGCCTCGTCTGAATGGAGGAGGGAATGAGGAGGTGTGACAGGCAGGAGGCTCAGACCTGGCGGAGCGGTGGGGAGAGGGGGTCGCCCTCCAGTTACATGTCACTACTCTGGTGGAGTAAGGTGTGTCTGCTGCTCCGAGTGGTACCAGCCAAGGCATAGCTAGAGTTTTTGCATTCAAGTCCAGCCTGCCCTTGGGATGCTGGAGGAGACGGTGCAGTTTTGCTCAGTTGCATGCTATTTCTGTAGAGCTGGTAGGATTTGCCGAGGAAGTGAACGTAGTGTGAGGAGAGGCTGAAAGGGCAGCCCCGAGGCTAAGGAGCAATTGCAGTTGGCCGTGTGGGAGTCCAGCGCCATCGCCTCTACACTACTGCCGACCCCCATGTCCACTTTCACACAAGGATGGAGTCCTGTGCTTGCAGCAGAGCCCGGGTGGCCAGCAAAGCCTGACCTGCTGATTAATTACCTAGCCCTTCACAGAAAGCCTGCTGGGTCGTGACTATTGCATCAGCAGGTGGAGTTCACAGGTGACCTTGACATGAGCTTGACAGGGAAGGGAGTGCAGGAGCCTGCTTGGGGTGGGTTAGAGAGAGTGGGACAACACGATGAGTACTGATACCCCTTTGGAGGAATTTTACTTTAAAGAGATGCAGAGAAATGGGGTGAACATCCAGAAAAGACAATCGAGGTTTGCAGCCAACGAGTTTTACCATGGGAGAAATAAAAACTTACTTGTGAGCTGATAGAAATGACCCTAGACAGACAGAAAATTTGGTGACTCAGGGAAAAGAGGAAGTTTCAGTGGAGTGACGTCACAGAACAGGCAAAGGGAGCTGACAGTGCAGAAATGCAGGGTGGTCTTAAAAGGGCCAGCGGCTCAGTCTCATCTGACAGCTTAAGTTTCTCAGTGTCAGGGCCTCACCTGGGAGTGAGAGTGGGAGAGGTGAATGGAGAGGAATCTTCAAGACAGTAAAATAATGGTGTGGGGTGAATGGGGGAGGGCAGTGTGCCACAGTGGGTGGCCCAGTGGAAAGCATGTGAGCTGAGTTCACTAGGGCTGGAGTTCGGCCAGTTGTATAAGACAAACAAGAATGAGGCCAGCAGGTGGCATGGTAGTTAAGGCACTGGACTCTCACACAGCCAACCATGGTTTAAGTCCTGGATCTGGTGGCTTGTTTTTTCACTTTACTATTCTCTCTCTCTCTCTCTCTCATTGAAAAATAATAATAAGTAAAATGAATAATTCTTCTTAAAATATGAAACAAGAAAGGGCAAGAACACAACAAAGAACACAATCAACAGAGTGAAGAGAAAACCTACAGAATGGGAGAAAATATTTGCAAACCAAACATTTGATGAGGGGTTAATACCAAAATTTACAAGAACTTCATACAAGTCAATGGAAATAAAAGAAAAGAAAAGAAAAAGAAACTTGACTGTAAAGTGGAGCAAAAGACCTATGTGGACATTTCTCTAAGAAGACATACAAATGACCGACAAGTGTATGAAAAGGTGCTCAGTATTATTATGGGAATGCAAATCAAAGCCACAATTGGAGAATCACTTTCCACAGTTAGGGTGGCTACTACCGAAAAGCCAAGAGGTGAGAAGTGTTGGTGAAGGTGTGTACAACAGGGAACCCCTGCACATCATTAGTGGGAATGTCAGTTGGTACAGTCCCACCAATTGGTACATCCATTTTGGAAAACAGTGTGGAAGTTCCTCAAACCATTTAAAATAGAACTACCAGGGACCATCAGATGGCATGATGGCTATGTCACTGGACTCCAATGTAGTTGATCGTGGTTCAAGTCCCAGACCTGGTGGCTTAAAACTCAGGCCAGGCGCGTGTGCATGCATGTGTGTGTGCCCAGGATCCGAAGAGGAGAATGGAGGAGAAGGGACTATGGCATGGCCATCCTCCCTGTGTGTGTGTGTGTGTTTGTGTGTGTGTGTGTGTGTGATTTCTCCCTTTCTGTCTCTCTATCTCTCTGTGTCTTTCTGACAAACACACGTACCCTATAGCAAAAACCTCTCAAAAAAAAAAAAAAAAATAGAACTGCCAAATGATCTAGCAATTCTACTACTCGGTGTTTATCCAAAGGAATTGAGATCAGAACCTTGAAGAGATGCCTGCACTCCCATGTTAATCACAGCATCGTTCGCAATAACCAGCTCGTGGAAACAACGTAGATGCCTGTCAGTGGGTGAATTAATTAGGAAAGTGTGATGAGGCCAGCGTAGAGGTTAAGGCACTGGACTCCCACATGGTCAGCCGCAGTTTGAGTCCTGGGACCCACAGGCTTGAAACTCATACTGGGCGCATGTGTATGTGTGCCCAGAATCCCAAAGGGAGAATGGAGGAGAAGGGATTGCAGTGTGGCTATCCCCCCAGGGGTGATTTCTTGCTTGCTTTCTCTCTGTGTGTCTCTCCAGGGAGTGCACTTGCACTATAGCAAAAAGCTCTCTTAAAAACAAAAAAGGTTAAAAAAAAAAAGAAAAAATATATAGAAATATGTGCATATATTTATTATTCCACCTTCAAAGAGAAGGAACTTTTGGGCTGGCCCCATAGCACAGCAGCTAAATGATGTGAACAGGAGTCAGATCCCACATGGTGACTGCAGTTCAAATCTGGGTCCCAGACGCTTGAAATACACGCCAGGCATGTGTGTGCATGCCCCAAATCCTGACTGGATAGAGAAATGGAGTAAAGAGACCGGTGTAACCACACGCTATTTGGGGGTGCTTTCTCTCTTTCTCTCTCTCTCTCTCTCTCTCATTCTCATTCTCTCTGGCAAACATGCACGCGCTCTGGCAATGAAAAAGAAAGAACAACACAGACATCACGCTAAGTGAGATGAACCAGACAAAAAGATACCGTGTGACCTCATGTATGCACGTGGAACCTAAAGTAATCAGACTCACAGGAGCTGAGAGGGGGTGAGGGTGGCCGGGAGCTAGGAAGTGGGAGAAATGGGGCCAGGCGGGCCGGAGGGGGCAGAGTGGCAGGCCCTCTGCACTGGAAATTCTCTGAGAGGGTAGAGCTTTCATGTTCTCACCACAGAAACCAAGAAAAGTAAGCAGGCGAGGCGATGGACAGGTGCATCAGCTTGCCTGGGGTGGTCGTTTCCCAGTGTATGCCTGTATGAGAACATCGAGTTGTATACCTTAAGTATACATGAAATATATATACCATAGTTATCAACTATGTGCCAATGAAACTGAAAAGAGGAAGGAATACGAATATGGAATATGAGACTGGCCGGTGGACGGTGGTCACTGGATTGTGCACCCCCGTGCCTGCCGTGTCTACATAAGGTGTTTATTCATCCAACAGGTATTTATGGAGCACCAGAAATGTTTCTTGTTTGTTCTTTTCTTAGCGGTCTTTGCCATAGGGCGTGTGAGCTGGTCAGAGACAGAGACAGAGACAGTGAGAGGGAAGACAAGAAATCACCCTTCCCCCCACCCCCGGGGGATGGCCACACCACAATCCCTTCCCCTCCATTCTCCTCCCGGGACCTTGGACACGCATGCACACACGCCCAGCGTGATTTTCAAGCCACCGGCTCAGAATCTCAAACCGCGGTCTGCCATGTGAGAGTCCAGTGCGTTGACCACTATGCCACCTGCTGGCCCCACCTGCAATGTTACAGGCGTGATTCTCAGTGCTTGGGTCACAAGCACCTAGAATTGCTGTGCAACCCCTCTCCCCGCATTCACTCTGAAACCTGCTCCGAGAGGTTCTTGCCCTCGATTGCCCCCACCCCAGCTCTTCCTGCTCCCACATTGCCCGTCGGTGATAAAATCACGCCCTCTACTTTGTGGTGACACGGCCGGGTTTGACACGGTGGACCTCTCCACATATTCCTCAAAACGCCTCTTCCTCCGCCGTCCTCGCTGCTGTTCCTCCCTACCACTGCGCGGAGGCCACCCGGAGTCCCGCGTGGACCCTCTTCATTCTCCATGGCCCTCGGGGTGTGCATCACCACACCTTCCTGTGTGCTGACACCAGGCTTCTCGCGTTGGCCTTGACCTCTCCCCGAGCCCCAGCGTCTTCAGGACCTTGGTGTCCTGTTGTGCCCCATGACGGTAAAGGACCCGTGACTGAACGAGTGACGTGATGAGTGGCCACCTCGCTTCTCACTCATCCATCCATTTGAGAAGTCTGTAAAAGGGGGAGGGGTGTTGGAGAAAAGCAAGGATTTCCTTGTACCAAGATGTCCTCGTCGCATTCACACGTGCTGGCGGGGTGGCGGGGACACTTTTATTAGCTGTTTCTCACTTTTATTAGCTTCCCCCAAGGAAACAGAAATTGAAGTCAGGTGTCTGCGGAAACTTGTTTGGCCACCAGGTGGCACCAAATGACCTCCAATCTGCCGTGTGGTTTGAGGCCTCAGGCCAGAGTTCTGAAACTGAGTGTGCGCTTGGCTGACTGGGGGTGTTAACCTCTGCTTGATAGGAAATCACTGGGGACACTGGGCATCTGCTTGGGAATGGTCTAGAACCTTTGGCAGCCACATGGCACCTTTAACAGTCCCCAAGGGTGACACTGTGCTTTATCCTTTAGTCTTTATGGCCTTCGTCGCTCACGTGGACCCTAGGAAGTAGGTGTCCCTAACCCCATCAAATACCTGACAACGCACTCAGAGAGGTCACCCAGTCAGGTTACACAGTTGGACATGCAGCCAGAATTCAGCCCCAGGCCACCTGCCTCTGAGCCCAGGCCTCCACCTGCAGTGAGCTTTGCAAAGTGTCGTGTGCAGGTGCACCATCACGGGGTGTCAGCCTGCAGTCGCGGGTGCGGCAGGTCCACCTGAGCCTCCGCGTCCCTCACCAGCTCCCAGGTGACGCCGCGCTCTGGCCTATGCACCTCGCCTGAGGGACGAGTAGCTCCGTGCACTTGTCAAGCTCACTCAGGTCCCTGCAGGACAGAATTGGTTCACGCCTTCAGGGTGACGTTCGGAAGGCTGACGCAGCTACACGAAATCCGACGATGAGCAAAGACCGTCCAGGGCCTGGCCTTTGCATCTGGTCTAGTAGAGAAGAGGGCCTTGGCTGAAAAAAAAAAAAGAAAGAAGAAAGTTCTGGAAGGGTTTCTAAAACAGACCTTGAATCTGTCTATGCTGTTTCCTAAGTAGCTCATGACAGACTGTTTCTGAGACCCTGGGGTGGGCAGGAGGGAAGCCCAGGCGCTCCATCCCCCACGCTCCCCTAATTCTCTGTGCCCACAGATTTACTTCTGGGAAGCCCAGAGGCGGAACCTCACAGAGCGAGTGAAGACGCTATTCCTGGCCGAGAACGGCGTGAAGCTCAAGAACCTGACCGGCTACACTGCCTACATGGTCAGCGTGGCAGCCTTCAATGCTGCCGGGGACGGGCCGCGGAGCCCCCCCACCCGGGGCCAGACCCAGCAAGCAGGTGGGGGCACCCTGGGAAGGATGCAGGGGGACCCACCTGGCCTCTGGGCTCATGGGAGGAGGCAGCGGCCCTGCTCTGCTGAAGAT